CCTTTTCAATAGGGGGTTAATTGAAGATTACACCTAAGAAACATTGCCTTGAGAAACAGGCTACACTAGTCTCAGTCCCTTCCCATTCAGATGTTCATAAAACATAAGCCTGACTTCACACAACTATAGTCAAGAGCCTATTAGAAGCACACAAAAGTAACTTGGAGGTTCTTTATATTAAAGGACTTTTGCTGTTATACCAGCTTTCCCAGGCTTCTTTGTACTCTATAGATCCCTGTGCACTCCTTTTATAAGACTCTCATCCATCCTGGATGATTTGATTCTTACAAGCGGTTGATTCTTACAAATGGAATATTTTAGGTATAGGAATGATTTTGTCCCAGTGGTTTTGAACACTATATGCGGGTGATTCTTATAAATGGAGTGCACTGTATTTGTATTCAGTCAAATAGTAATCCAAAACGTGCACAGACAGTAATGCAAGTGTCAATCTGATCCTTCTTATGATGTGATGTTTAACCAAATTAGGCAACTATTTGTACTCTAGAACTGTACAGTGTGTGTCAGTAAATGCAGGAACTAGAAAGGCAAAATTAAAGATACTCCTCAAAATAAGCCCTCAAAGTAACTTGAGTGCATGCTGCAGGGCTCAAATGCCACATTAATGACTTCTTTACAATGAAATATTGTAGAAATTAATTCGGATATATTTGAAGAATAAATTAGTGCATCTTAAGCCTACATCTGTGATGCAAACCGCTGTCCATTCTTTGAAAATGCACTTAGTCATAAGTGCCTGTCAAACTCAAATACAGCATTGATACTGAACTATTTCTATAGTCAAGCAATTTGAATTGAACAGATTGCTTGTATTGTACCATTTTAGCTCGGACACCTACCTGTGCACTATGTAACATCAAAAATGGCAGCAATCTAAGAGTTAAAGATAAAGTAGCATTACCAAACTGCTGACCTAGATGCTAAACTGATAATGCAACAACAGGACCTACTGGGACAAAGTTAGGAACTGCAATTCCTCAACCTTTGCCATGAAAGAGCTGTCCTTGTATCTGAAATTAAATGCAGTTACATGTTTGACTACCCTGTGAGATAGGAAAGCACAATTATTAAGCGGCCAAATCTCACTCCTGTCATGAGGTCATTTTTTGGAGCTCAGCCAAACAAGATTCCTGCCAACAGCCTGTTCTGTCCAATGAAGATATCTATGCTGACCATTGCTGCAGATAGATTCCTTCCCAAAAAATGCAGGAAACCTATTTTTAAACAAATATCAAAATTGTCCACATTTACAGCAGATTGAATGACTTCAATAATCAATACAAGTTGTAATCACTCTAGATTTGTGTTGAAATAAGATTTCTGTTTGGTTGTTTTTAAGTGTGATAGATTATAAATACTTGTATATTCATGGCACACTTTGTGTTAATTTATTAGCACTATGAATGTTGTAAGTAAAATCAGGCATATTTAAAACTAGTTTAGAGATTGATATCTAATGATTATTGTAAATGCTGTGGAATAATGTTAGTTTTAAAACAGAAGTAATTTTTTTTTAATAGCCTTTTCAATTTTATTTTCTTCTGATGGCATTCACAGGATGCTTCCAGCTACTATTGGTATTTGGACATACAGAAAAGAATATAAGCAACAAATGATATATCAGAGATGTGTATAGTATTTAATTTTAACAAATATTACAGTGCCTCTGATAATTTTGGATTATTATTTCATAATAATATCTAGATAGGACTGTGGTTACAACATAACATTAGCCCCATTTGAAAAGTTATGTTTTATAAAGCAACTGGAAACCTTAATCATAATGAAGAAGTTTATTGTGTATTTTGTATTACTTCGCACAGTTGGTGTTGATTTTTAGTTACAGACATACTCACGCTCTAACCACAATAGTTTATGTAATATAAAACTACATGCCTTAAAATTTATCTATTTTCCCACAAAGATTGAAGTAATCCTTTTTCAAGCTCCTTGCAAAGACAAAGACAGGTGAAAAGGAGGTGAGAGTATTCCTGAATATTATCAATTACACATATAGTCAAAGGCACCATGTTCTGAATATGCACATACTGTTCAGTTACCTACAGGTAGGCACTTCAAAGACAAAAGTGTAGTATACTGTCCCTTAAATTGGCATTTGCATGTTCTCATTATTACTTAGAATATTTCCATCACAATCAAGTATTTTAATGTTCTACTGCCCACCTATACAAGAATGAACATATTTAGACTATTAACTTACCTGGAGTGATTCAACTGCACAGACAACATTTGGACTTCAGTCTGTATCCAAACTGATCAATTACCCTAAATCCATATACAACAGAGCACATATGGTTTAACTACTTAATCTGGTTAAGTGGAATCACTGTTTTATTATTTCATGGTACTTGTTCAGTCGGATAGCTTTTAAGAGTCATCTTATTTCGCATGAAGGCCCCTGAGGAACTTCAAGCATGCAGGAGTAATGTTGTACAGCTGAATACAGTATGAGGCAATCTAAAGATTTAATATATCAAATAGTCAGTTTCAATTAATTTTACATTGACAAGGCTTAACAAAGAACGAAAAACTGTTAGAACTCGATAGTTTTTATCTAAGTTAAATAGGTAGCTTATTTTTACTGTTTGTAGCTACAACAGAGTCTGTTTCCCATAATCAGTTGTGGTTCATGTACAGTACATTAAAATTGCAGACTTGTTGAGACTTGAACAGTGAGATCGATGGCTTATGGTCAACTGCCAAGTAGTGGAAACTTTTATTCCAAATTCATGGATTTTTCAAGGCTATGTATTTCTATAATGAGGAGGGAAGCAACTGTAATAACTCCTACATGGGCTGAGGCAGGGCTTTATGCTTGCTACACAATGGCTTTCTTTACAAGTACCCCTTCACCCACAATTGTGCTTTTCACCCAGGAAGGAGAATGTGTCGCTGGAGTTTATGCTCAGCAGGGACCACCATTCCACCTCCAATCGTAGGAATATACACTTCTAAAGACAAGTAACTGGACGGATAGAATTATTCTAAACCAAAGCAGGCTGCTTTCCCCAACCTTACTGACTAGCCATTGTTTATAGAGTGACTCCACATATGGGGTGATGACCTGAACGTGATGAGCAGGAGCCTGAGTCCCCATTTCCGCTCAGTCTATGGCAGTACCGGACAGGGAGAGTGGCTTCAGACTCCACCTCCTCCAATGGTATTGCATGAAAAATGAAAGTGGAGGGAAAACAAGAGAAGAATCCAGTTTATTGCCCCCACTCAACCTTTCAGACAGTTAGGCCAGCAGCTATTAGCATAGAGTCAGCCCCTCCTCCCCTATCCTTATTGAAAACCAAATGCCACTTTTGGCTCAATAGGAGGAAAAAAGCAATAGACACCCCAAACCAGAAGAGGAAAGAGCAGCACACAAAAAGGGATCCAAGAAAAGTGATATGAGAGGAGGCAAGAGAATTATATAACTATAATCTCCACTTTAAAATTAAACAGTTAAAATTTGAGAACAATCAGTTAAAGAATGTTTATTCTGTCTGATCATTACATAAATACTATTGTTACAATTAACATCTAAGATTACAGCATTTTAAAAGGTAAGTAAAAATCTTTGTTTTCTCTGTGTGTTTGACAGTGTTGTGTGTCTTGTCAGTTCTACAGTTTCACCTTCCCTCTGGATAGTCAATTTCCCCAGTTGTTAGTGCCAACCTTTCTGAATACAGTGGAGAAAACACATTTTGTCATAGAAAGTGTAATTTAAAGCCACAGAAGTTAGTAGAGGGTTCAACAGCAGTTGTAGATGAAACCATTCAATTCATTTAAAAAAAAGTGTTAGATTTAAGTGAATAAAAGTGACCCGTGGATTAACATCAATAATGATATGAAAACAGAAAAAAAGAAATTCCCTAAATTTCCATCGTGTATTTGAAAGTATAGGTACCTGGGGTATAAAAATCAAACAGGTGATCAGGACCCTTATGAAGGATATCCGACTATTTTTTTTTAAAGCTATTCAACTTTCATGAGACTGAGTAATATAAGGGAGAGTGATAAAGTTAATGCTTCTTGAACTGCTAAAAAGGTCTGGAAGAAGCCAGAGATAAGAAAATTGTTGCAAGAGCATCGGGGAGGATTCTAATGTTTATCAGGACAATTGTCACTTGAAGTACCCCTTCAGGCTTGTATTGTACTAAATCGCCAACATTCACAACAAAGAAAATGATGAAGGGGGCGGGGAGGAGGGGAGAAAAGGTCCATCTAAACATACATCTGAAGTACAAAACCTCACAAGGTAAAAAGGTTGAGTGTATAGCATTATAAAACACTTTTAGAATTTCTGTAATTGGTGACAAGGGTTTTCCTTCCTACTAATCCAAGACAGCAACAAGTTCTCTCACCCATGCATTCTCTACCCCTGAAATGTTTGGTCAAACTATCTTTATAGTCCTCTATCTGAATATGATGAAAGCATGCACCCACCTGGTCAGAAGAGGCATGCATGATATTCCAAAGTTGCAGCTACAAGCCATCATGTTCTTAAGTCTGTTGCTTCGAGGAAGGAGGGAAGGACCAGACTCACCTTTCCAAACAGGTTGTACCAAGCCTGTGTTAAAAGCCCTAACATGGGCGAGGGACTGGATGGAATTCACTTTTGCAGGTGAAACAGAAGCCCCAGCGTTAGTTTATTGGGTGACATTAACATCATGCTGGGGAGACGAAGAAATTCTTCAAGACAGAGAATTTGTTTCACAGTGATCGAGAAGGGAGCATGCCAAGCAGCAGGACGTTCTCCCCAATGCCCAGCCACCCTCACCTGTTTCCAAGACGGACTCGATCAGCCCTGAAGAGCAGCTGCAAAAACGCCGGCTGTCTAAGGAGTGCAGACACTTGCCCTGTACTTCCCCTGTCCACTCGCATACCCCGCAAAGCCGCCCCCGTGCTCACACTCCTAGTACCTCCAAGATCCAGAGTCACCCCATTGTTCCCCAGTGCCCGTGACTCACCTGCTGGCGGCGGTCCGTGGGTTCGGCGAAGCGCTGCAGGCGGGCCGAGCCAGAGGAGCCCGGGGCGACCGCGGTACCCCCGTGACGGGGAGAAGGCGTGGGATCGGGGTCCCGCTCCCGGCGGAGCTCGGAACGCAGCTCCAGGTAGCAGCCCAGGGTAAGGAGGTGCAGCGCAAGCGAGAGCGCGAAGAAGCCCAGGAAGAGGCGCCAGCTGCCTCCGCCGCTGCCCCGGCGGCCACAGGCGCAGCCACCTCCGTCAGACCGGGGCGCCGCCTGCTCCCTACGCTCGGAGCTCATGGTCAGTACCACCGCAGGCGAGTCCTGCGAGGAAAAAGAGGATTGGCTACTGCTCCATCCTCGCCCGAGGAACCCCAAGCCGGAGCCGCAGCCAGGCTGTGCGGCCAGAACAGCCGCATGAAGCGCCCGGCCAGGGGGAGGAGCCCGCAGGGGAGGAGCCGCCACGGCCTCCGACACGCCTGGCTCCTTGTCCAGACAAGGCCTGGAGGCGGGGCAGCTAGGGGACTCCGCCTTACCTCGCCAGGCCTCTATTTAACTCTTCCCTGGCGGTTGGGCTCTGGCGGCTTAGGTTTGCCTTTATCTCATCCCCATTATCCCGGGGAGAGGAATCTGCCTAGGAGCACAGGGTACAGCCTAGAACCCAGGAGTCCCCCCTCAAAAACAGAAACCTAACTCCCTGCTTAGCGCCCCCTGCTGACATGGTGGCAATTAAAAATTATTGTAAGTTTTTTACAGTCAGTCACTGATACGTTCTTTTAATCATCAGGAGATTTTTGTCTGAGAATATACATATTACTACTAATAGTAAATCAGACAACGAATGGTGGCAAAACATGGAATGTTGGTGCTAAGGGAGCTCTCAATTAGGATGCTATCTAAGGCATGATGAAGGGGCTGGAGTAACAAGCAGAGGCTCACAACACTGCTCTAAAGGTTTTTCCCTATAGTCCAGGCACATATACTTGCCACAAAAGACTTTCCATAGCTTTAATTTCCCACTGTGAGATATGTTGAGTAATATAAAGACATAAGCTGGAAGAATACTGACAACAGCTGTAGTTGCCCCTCCAAATGTTATTTCCTTTTGGAATTACATCACAGTCAATGTCAGGTAAAGATGCAGATCACCTTGTCCAAATAAGCAAGTCTTAGGAAGAAATGAACTGAAGCTTAGGATGCATACTATTTCCCTGTTGACACTGCTCAAAGCAATAAAAATATAAAGCAAAGCTGAAATATGCTCTTTTTTAAGAGCAGACAAAGATCACCTTATTGGTAGCACTGCCGAAAGATAGCATGATTTAGCAGCACAGAGCCCTCCCTGCAGGAGTAGTGGCTAGAGAGGACCTGCAGGGACAGCAGCAGGTGAGAGAGACAGAGATAGCAGCAGAGAGGGTGCCAGTACTTACCCTCAGCAGTCAAGACATACCTATGTGCATGGGTAAGCACAGGGGCGGCAGGTTTGTATAATTTTTGGTGGTGCCCAGAACGGGTCCAAGTCCCCCCATCCCGGCCTTGTAAGCCAATATATTTTTTTTAAAATAATGTAAAAATGGACTGGAAACAGTAAGCGTTTAACAGTTTCCCTATATTGCATAATGGGGGTGGGGGGCTCAGGGCTAGGGCAGAGGGTTGGAGTGTGGGGGGATGAGGGCTCTGACTGGGGATGAGGGGTTTAGGATATGGAAGGGGCTCAGGGCTAGGGTAGATGGTTGGGGTGCACAGGGGTGAGGGCTCTGGCTGGGGGTGTGAGCTCTGGGATAAGGAGGGGCTGGGGATGAGGAGTTTGGGGTGCAGGCAGGCTGCCCCAGGGCTGGGGCCAGAGAGTTGGTCACCACAGTCCCCCCAGCCCTCTCTGCCCCCTCACCCCCCGGGCAGCACCCTCACCCTGAACCACTGTCATTGCACGTGCTCCTAGGGGCTGGGCCCCTCTCAGGTCCAGGAAGCCCCCTCGCCTCCCCAGTGGTGGGTGCCGGGGTGGGGGG